CACCTCGGCAGGATGGAAGGCTGGGGCAATCCTGAGCTGGTGAGATTTGAACTGCCGAACTAGCAGTCAGCTGAAGTAGCCTGCAGTACTGCACTCTAACCACTGCGCCACCTCGGCTCTTTAAGTTGCCTTATAGCTTTATCCCATTTAAAGTAAAACAAAGCAAAGCAAACCTACAAAGTTTCAAGAAGTAGAATATAATTCAAGCTGTTACCTCGAGAGGATTCCCACAAAGTTGCAAACAGACGATCCATGAAATAAAGACTGAACATTGCCCAGTTTTCTCTCAAACACCGTACTTTCAGTTCCTCTGCTGACTTTATATATATTCAAAACCTGTATTAGATTTTCACTGCAAGAAAAAAAAATCAAAAAGAAAATAAATATTCAGTAAATGTTCATATTAAAAACTGTATAGCCAGGCCACAGTAATTCCAATTGCAAAATCCCTAATGCCATTGAGGACCTATCTCTTGTAGAACATAAAGATAAGAGAGATTTCCACAAGTAAATAGCCATGACAGGAGCATAACCTTTTCAATAGCAAGGGGGTACACATGGCTTTTGAGTGCCTGGTTAAGGGCCACATTCAGGGGTGATATTGACTTACTTCCCTACTGGTTTACAAATGTGAGCACGTGTGTGCGCCCGCGCATGAGCTCCACCTTCCGCGTATGCGTTTTGCCTAAAAAAGGGGGCCTAAATGGGATGCCGTAGAGCCAGAGTGGGCGGCCAGGGCCACCCGCGATTTCCGCTACTGGTTTGGGTGAACCGGTCAGAACCAGCAGAATACTACCTCTGGCCACATTCCAAAATACAGCGCTGAAGCCAGAATAAACAGTAAATTTCATTTCATTGGATTGTCATTTTCTTTCTTCTCTCCCAATAACAATTTCTACTTAGTAAAAGCTTTTGGGCATTTTCCAAAACCCAAAAGCTTTAGGCTGCATCTAGGTTCATGACACAATTCAGTTTTCGACCCAGGTGGCAGAAAATCTCTTTTCATTCCACCACCTATGCCGCGTGATTATGAAAAGCCCTTAGAGTGCCTTTCTAATTTGAAAACATGTTACTTTAACTACTTTCCTCATTTCACACTCCAACTATTGCATTCCCCCCCGCCCCCCTAATTTGTATTTATTTATGATTCAAGCTTTGTCATTGTGATTATCATCAAATTCTGGTCTAAGGAAGAACATGTAAATAACATGTTCTTGTGCAAGATTTAAACTTATACTGGAAGCAGGGTCCAAATAAAAGCAACCTGCTTCACGGCTTCTCAGTCATAAAATTTAGTAAGTGCATAAGTGTGTAAGGCAGTGCATTTATCTGGGTCAGAGTTATTAAAAGGAACAGGATGATTAACAAGGGCTGAATAAAGACTAACGATAATTCAATATGGGACTTTGCAGAGCAGGAACAGTTACCCTACAACCATGATGGCAAACCTATGGCACACGTGCAGGAAGCAGAGCCATCTCTCCGGGCACACCAGCCATTGCCTGTTGCTCTTCTGAGTTCCAGCACGCACATGTGCGCCGGCAAGCTGGCCCTTGCATGCACGGGAGCACCGGAAACCAGAAGAGCATCTCCTAGGCGTACCAGCCCGCTGTTCTTCGCGCATGCAGGCATGCCAGAAACCGGAAGAGCAGCTCCCAGGAGTGCCAGCCTTCATGCGTACATAGGTGCCAGAAACCAGAAGGCCAGCTGCTCTTCCGGAGCGGCTCTTCCGGTTTCTGGTGCTCCCCCACACGCACGCCCTCCTGTTTCGGCACTTGATGCCGAAAAGATTCCCCAACGCTGCTCAACAATAAGAACTTTCTAGGCAATTGACACATTACTTGCTAAACACAAGGCTGGAGGTTCCACCTTACTTATTTTTTTACTTCACATATTTTCAGATTAGAAAGGCCCTTTCAGGGCTTCTCATAATCACTTGGCCTAACCAACCAAAGCGTTAAAAACGTGGCCTCTGTAGAAAGCAAGATCATCCCGCAGAAGAGAAAGAATCATTGTTGTGAATTAGTGTCATACCTCTATGGCAACCATGTTTTGAGAATACCTGTTATGGCTGAAGAGTCAGTCTGACACTACTCCAACTGAACCTAAGGAATATTAGCATCAGGAGATCCAAGCCAAAAATCACCTGAGGCTGATTGAACACAGGCCCTATCTGAACAGCTGGAATAGTCAGATGATGAGGTATGACTTTTAAGGCCTTGGACCCGGCACCTGAGACACAGAGCAGAACAACAATGCTCAATAAGGCTTCCTGCCAAACTGAAAGAAAAGTCTTTGTAACGGAAGGCAGCTGGTTGCAGCCTAATTTAAGAGACAGCCCTGATCCATGATTCTTAGTTGGAAACAATTGTCTAATCTCTGGCTCTTACATGATGTTCTTGAGGGATTTGTTCGTGTAATTCTTTCTGAACTTGGCCTGGATTTTGGACTCGACTCCCACTGAAAGAAAAACCATTCAGGCAAGTTTTCTTCCTCAGATACTTTTGTTGTTGATTTATGATCTTCCTCGTCTGCTGTTTAACTTTGAAATAAACTGCTAATAGCAATAGCACTTAGACTTATATACCGCTTTACAGTGCTTTACAGCCCTCTCTAAGCGGTTACAGAGTCAGCATATTGCCAACAATCTGGGTCCTCATTTTACCCACCTCAGAAGGATGGAAGGCTGAGTCAACCTTGAGTCTGGTGAGATTTGAACTGCCAAATTGAAGGCAGCCAGCAGGCAGCAGAAGTAGCCTGCAGTACTTGCACTCTAACCACTGCACCACCGTGCTA